TAGCATGAATAAATTTACATCACACAACCGTTCGCGCTCATTACGAAACTTCTTACTTCACTTTTTTTGAAAAATGAAATGGTCTTTCCTTTTACTCCCGATCAACAATCAAATATCTTTTCTTGAATTATGAATAACACGAATGGATTGAAATATTTAATTAAATTATCTCAAAATAAACCTTCATTTCGGTGCAATATTGAAATTAGCTTGAATTCTTCATAACCTCTGAATAGTGGGTGACCCAACGGGTCACGGTGGTCTAGTTCACACTAAAGTTTCACTTGAGTTGTGTCAACATACTGACATAAATATACGTTTTTACAAATTGCACACTTCAAAACCTTTGATGGTTGGCTAGAAACCATTTTTGAAGATCTACTTTTGTGTTTCTGCTTAAGTGTCTCTTCTTTTTCTGTGGCAGAAAAACTAAATTCTCCTCCTTCAGAACGTAATTTTATTTTGTGTGTGTCATCCAAAGCTGAAGATGGTAACTGGAAAAGATCTACCATATTTAAATTATAAGCTTCCGAACAAGTAGGCACACTTTCTGTTTGAAAGTTAAATACACATGTTGGTGGTTCAATCTTTCGTTTTCGAGTGTACGTTCGAGAAATACGTGATTTTTCTTTCCGTGATTCTAAGCTTTCAGAAGAAATGCTCATTTTTACAGTTTGGCAGTTAGTTTTGTTAAATTTTACGTTTCCAGGGTGACTTACTTCTGCACATTTTGAAAACAAATTGTTTGGTTGTAATATTGTCTTATTTCCAATTATTGGCTTTTTCACTTCTTGGAATTCTTTTCCACAAGTTTCAAAATTGGACTCGGATATTTCCAGTGGTTCTTCTTTCACAAGAAACAAAGACTCTTGGATAACTTCATTCAATCTTGTTGAATCACATACAGACTGTGATTTTACTGATATACAATCTTTAGTGTTCTTAGAAAATTTGGATGTTATGTGGTGAGGATAAGTATCACTGGTGAAAGGCTCCACATTCTGCTCTATTTTGGTAGCTATTTCAGAACTATTTTCAGTGTCTCCATAGAAAACATCAGTAAATTCCATAAAACTAGGTTTAACATCTGGGTCCATGTTTGAAATGAATTCTAATGACTCTTTTGGAGTTTCATTCATATCACTCTCACACTGATAACTGATCAAGTTTTCTTCAGGTTCTTTTTTAATTATTGCTGGAGGCTGAAAATTATCTTGTAATGTGTACTGAAAATTTGTACAGTTTTCAAATAATTCTTGATTTTCTTCTGAATTCATGATTAGTTTGGTTTATGTCTTGTACTATGGTATTAGTTTTAGTTCTTCCATTCTTAGATGTGTTTCAGGAATAAAATCATTTTCTTCCTGTTGATAACAGTCTTCATAATTAAGAAAATCTCAGTTGTGATATACTCATGCATTGAGATTAGGATTCTGTCTTTCAATGTTGTCACCACAAGTCTTATAACAAGCTATGTGTACATCTTGTCATTCTCTACCAAGATAATTTTTCTCCAGCCCAGTTTTATTTGTACATGCACACATACTAGCTTCTGGGTTTAACCCATAGACAACTAACATTTTTGGACAGTGCTGTGAACATTCTGCTGTAGAAAATTCTGTAGTAATTTTAAAATTAAATCCAGAGTTTCAAGACTAAAACAAAAAAAGAAGTTCCAAGACCATTTCTTCATCTGCTATATATTAATTACCCTATTTTAAGATTTGCCAGAACTACTATTTGTAAAAAAGGTACATGAAAACAGTCCATTCAGGATAGTTTACATCATTCTTTCCTTTCCACACAAAGCATACATGAGCAGTCTTATTGTTTCATTACAGCATCTGCAAAGATATATATATATATATGTATTTCAACAATTTCAAAAAGGCTACATATTAACATAACATCAAAAACAAACTTCAAATTTCTCTTTGACTAAGGTCATAAGTGACAGAACTTAGCATAAAATTGGAAAGATATTGGTTGTCAAAATTTTCAACTGTGTGAAGAATGTAATATCAGACTAAACAAATTATTTTATTATTTATTCATGACAAAAAGGAAGTATGCCAGTGAAATACTGTCATATCAGCATTAGTTCACACTTCATTATTAGAGAATGATGTGCCATACACTACATTGAAGAAATATACTCAAATTGTAAAGGATACAAAACTTCTTTTTTAAAGGAGAAAGGAAATGCAAGCAGTAAGGTCATTTATATGAATTAAACAAATTAAATTTGTCTTACCTTAACTTAACATGTAATATATTTTTGTGTTGAGCTGGTGCTAGTCACATAAAAAATTCTTATAGATATGTACATGTAGAATAGGCCTAAGTAGATAGTATCAATACTTTTTACACTTAAAAAATATCCAGCGCTTCGGCTATTTATCTATTAAATGTCAATATCACATATGGAATGATATTAGTTATTGAAATGGTTTATAATCTTTTATGGCCAAATAACTAGTTACAACAGAAATTAAGTATCTCAAGCCGCAAGAAAAAGTAAACTAAATGACAAACGATATACTTTAAAAATATATTTGGTAGAGTCGGTTTTATTTTGGAGAAAGGTCTAATACCACACACATGAATCAATTGATTATTAATTCTTTTTTGTTAATGATGGAATTAAGAGAAATTCTATTAACATAATCATCAAAACACATGCAAGTTGACAGTTAAATGGAACATCATCAATTAATGAGGTTTAGGTAATTCTGTGCAGAATGTTAAAGTAATAAAACAACTAGACTACAGCAATATCTAACATGAACATTTTATTTTATTTTTTATATAGACCAAACTGCAAATGTTTTGTTACCAAGAACTTGTAACATACTTGGTGATTAGAGGTAAAAGAACTCAACCAAGTAATACACATCTCTCAAACAGAACTAAGAAAAACAAAGAAAATAGGGATCAATTCAGATTGAGCATAGTCTAAGCTTAGTTAATTTAAGTTTTGGATCTTTATTTTATTTATTGATTATTATGTTTTAATCCAAACTGAGCATATTCTAAATTCAAACATTTTAGGTTTATATTCTTTTTAATACTGCCTAAGAAGACCTGAAACTCAGAATTTGTGTGAACGTAGGCTTAGCATTTAGCTTTCATTACATTTTGGGTATTTTTTTGGAAATGTAAGTTTCAACTAAAGGAATATGAGAATGAAAAGGAATATTATGAATATATTATTTATTTATCTATCTGTTTTATCACTACTAAGCTAAGTGTATCATAAGTAATTCACAACAATATATGTAATTTGATATGGAGAAGGATTTTATTTATTTATTTGTTATTTAATCTGGAATAGTTAATTCATGATATTTTTATCAAGATTAATTTGGATTTCATACTTTTAGGTTTCCAAGCTTATTACTACTGCATACACAGCTGGCAACATATGGCCTAGAAATGAATATAAATACTTCTAAGTATCCCACATCTTTAGCAGATTATCTAAACCCTTAGTTAAACATATAAATCAAGCCATCTGCAGTTTTTCATTTTTTTAATAAAGGTATCATCCATGTATCTTCTATCATGAAACACGATAGTGGTTCATAATAGGGATTGCCCATTTGTTGTTCTTTATTATTATTTAATATTATTCGGTCAGCCTACAGCAAAAATGTCTGTAATATTGTAACAAAACCTGGGCAATAATATTAAATGCATCATTGCACATCGTGTAGGGTAGTTTTTAAGTTTATTTCAGTAGCAAATAACGGTGGCTGTATAACCGTTGATACCCAATTATCTTAATATAGTCTGTGGTTTATATGGAGCCTCATAATCTACTACATGCATACATTTATAGCTGTGTACAGCCCATGGATATAATTCAAAGTTTATAAGGCAGGCATGACACATGTACCATAGAAATTATTAACTTATTGTTGCAACTGTATTGATGTCACATATAATTTCGTTATGTATATGATTCCTGCCCTTTCAGATACAACGCTGCTGACAGGATTAGTTTTTTTTTACCACTACATGATACGATTGATTTTGGCCAATTACACAAATGTCTAATACATCATAAAAACATCTAGATTGTCTCCCACAACAGAAATTAAGCTGTAGTTTAAAAGATGGTACCAAGTTCAGTTTTGAGCATCAGATCAGCAATCATGGTGATGGCTGATTGCATATGTTATAGATACTGCACATACAGTAGCAATCCTTGACGTTGACTATAAGGAGTGGCAAGAATCCTGCATGCAGGGGATGGCAAAAATGAGGCAGATATTTTGTAGCTATATATATCTTATTACAAAAATATTTAGTTTCAGATAAAATATGCAGCAGTGATGGCTCACCAGATTTTAGGGTCATCATAGTGGAAGAGGGTTATAGAAGTGTCATGACCCAAACTCCATCAGAAAATGGATGGGGGAAAAAAGATATATTAATATAATAAATTCATAATTGTTAATTAACAAGTTTTGACCCTATAGAGTGTCACTTTAAGAGAAAATCTGGCCAGTTGCAGCATAATCGTGACCGGCCTTACTATGGCCAATAGAGAGGAGGAAATATAAGTACAAGAAAAAGTTAAAATGGTTATTTATATACATATGCTATTATATGATGACACATTGTCTTATATTTGCATTGAAAATATATGCATGCATCTAAACAACTTGAAATATTTATATGGCTATCTCTATGTATGGCTTTACAACTTAAGGAAAACCTATAAATCCAGCATGTGTATGTATGTATAAATATATATATATATACATATATAAATACTAGTCAAAATGCACTGCATGTGCATGCATGTATAAAATTTGTGTTTACAGACTCCCCATATAGCTACAGGGTATAGATATAGTAGCTACATATATTTTACAAACATATAAATAACATGTTGTATGTTAATCACCATGTATCATACATGATGTACTACAATCAATGATAACATTGTGGCAATAATATCAAAAGCAATAGCGATCAAACCTGCATGAAGTCAATCCAAAGGTTCTCATTGTTTCCTGAGAGAGCATCATACATCAACTACTCATTTCAATAAACTAAACTGTTTCAAATAGGACAGTATTGATATTATACAGATTTATGTTCACGATGGACATAAAAAAAACACAACTAAAGAAACAAGATTACTTAAAATTTTTAATTTAAAAAGGGGGAATAGGTATCTTAAAAAAATACAGAAACAATAACAGTAGCGTAAAGTTTGAAACATAGTGTTGACATTATTTCTTCAAGCTACAAATCTCTATTTTGACTCTCCTATATATCACAGCTTTTAGACATAGAGTTAAAATAAGGATCTGTATCTTGAGGTAATAATGTCAACACTATGTCTCAAACCTTAAGTTTGTTTGTTTACTTTTTTGGCATTTACATTTTCACTTTATGTTACCTACCTATCTTGTTTCTATATTTCTTTGAAGATCCCTATTCCCCCTTTTTAAATTAACAATTTTTAATAAGCTAGTAATATATTGGTTTAAATGAATAAGGACATTCCTCAAGCCAATGCTTTTCATGGTGACATAGGAAAAAGATGGAGAACAGGAACTGTGCATAAAGGAAAGTCTACTGATCAGCACATTTCAACCGAGATTAAATGAGCAGAATAGTAGAGTTCGCTTATTACTTAGCTTGCAGTCCATTAGAAGTACACTGACCTATAGCGTTGCTTCTTAAATTAGCTTCTTTAAGAAGTTTTGAATTGTAAATTATGAAGCTCACTTGTTATACAATGAATTAATAAGTATTCCTAACATATGTACACATTATAAATTTCATAGAAATAAAGTCTTTTGGAAAACTTTTCATTGGATGCCTCTGTAAACCGATGGTTAGTTTAATTTCCACACAAATCTACCCAGTGGCTATCTCAGATAGCCACTTCAACTTCAAGTGATATACTAGAGGAAAGGCAGTTAGTAAAGATCACCTAACACCAACTCTTTGGCTACTTCCATCCAACAGTGTGGTTTGACTGTCATTCTCATAATGTACCCATGACCCTAAAGTGAGGAGCGTGATACATTTGTTTTTGGCTATAACGGAGCTTGTACCAAGGGAATCTCAGACCCACAGTTGGGTCTGCCAACCACTGGATCATACTCAACCCATCACTTCAGAATACATGTAAACAAGTTCAAAAAAATCTCTCCCTCATTGTTTGACCTCAATCAATCAATGCGTCTAAAATTAAAGTATCCCATAATTATTGCTTTAATGTTATTATTAGTCCAGTTAGGTGTCCTATTATGCCAATTACAAACTTTCTACCTTCAAACCTCCAATTTTAACCAATATAAATTCAATGTCCTGACTACCATTTCTTATGCCTTCAGTCCTAATATGATGCAGTTCATCTCTTATATGAAGACCACCTTGTCACTCTCTTAAAGTCTATCACTGTTAAATAACTTATAACCTCAAATAATTCCTATTATCAATATTCTCCGAATCTAACCAAGTTTCACTAATTTCCATTATATCATAGCCTTTCATTTCAACTATTACTTCTACACTTTCCTATTATTCCAAATAAAATGACAATGGCAATTAAGTTTATTCTTAATCCTACTATGTTCGTTTTTAAATCTGAAAGACTTATCTTTAAAGCTATTATTTGTTTTTCTCTGATTCTCCTTCCAAATTTCTTGTTGTCCTTGCTAACCTATCATTTTGTTTATTCCCAATTTCTCTCACCGCTACACAAGTTTAACCTATCTTTAGTGAATACAATTAAAGCTTCCCCAAACAACCTACTATTTAACCTAATTAGGTGTCACCCACCTCCAAGATTTAATTCCCCATAACCTGAAACTATCCTACAGGTTCAATCACACCATCTGTTACTCTGAGCATATCCATGATAATCATTAAGTCCTGGGTCCTGCTAAGTAATTCATTTCTGCATCTGGCCGAAGGAACATTCTTAAAAGAGTACATGTCTGTTTCTATCCCTAAACCTCTGAAGGAGTTCTTTATATTTATTAAGCAACTCTTCTGATTTACAATTTCTAACATCAGTTTCTTCTATACTCACTATAAAACGTTTTAATGAGTGATGTCTTAAGGCCCAACTAATAATAAAAGAAAGGTTGTGTAATTATATTAAAAGATTTACAAAGAAAAAAAAAGATGAAGCATTGAAAATACTTCAAATAAAGTGTTGTAATATGGTGTACAGGTTTTATAACACAATACTGGAGTAAGTTAAGAAAAAAAAAGAGAAGGGTTTATTTCTAATGATATAATATTTTAGTATGTAAAATTTCATCTCTTCCTCACCCAAAAATATTGCCAGATTAACAGTAGCAATAGTACAAAAATTATGCTCACACTTTCATTTATGTCTGATACCGATTGTGATTCTATAAAGACAAACTACTGGTAACATAGTATTAGTAAAACTTGAATGACTGTTCCCATTTTTGTGTATGTAGGGAAAGGAAATCCATTATTTCTTTTTCTTCTCATGATATTAACACAAAATTTACTTGGAAAACTTTGCACTGAATACTTCACCTTGTATAAAAAGTGTAAGTTAGTGATAACATTATCAATTTTTATCGTACTAAAAATGTGGTATAAACTACCAAATATTACCTTCTCCTTGATTAACAGTAATATTACTTTTATTACTCCAATACCAATAGTGGGTTTAATCCAATGGGGAAACTGTTATCAATAACATGCACCTATTATTTCTGTTCTTTGGTTTATTAATTTAATATTCCATTTAAACTGACCATGTATTTCAATACTGCACACGATTTTCACAAACGCAGTAGCAAAAAAATTAATATAAAATCCATTAAAACTTTAGTTGAAAACAAATTTATGAGATTAGAAAGTATATATGCTTAACATACATTTTTTAGACTTGGAATCAATAAACTTATAATTACAAGAATAGCGCATTTTTACTTTACGTGTTAGGGTGACATCTGAAAAGTAAAAGCACTGAAAAGTAACAATAACATACTAGTTAATACAATTAATACTAGGGAGAGGCTTAAGCCTTAAGTTAAAACTTCTGATGAATAACTGATTACTGCTACTACTACTAGTAACGAGCATTAAGAGAACAACTATCGCTATTACTATTAATAATGCTTGTAAGTTGTACTCAGTTGTAGCTAAAGTTTATGTTAGCGGGAAAACATTCATTAATGACAAAGGCGCCAAATTATGTAGGCTACTACTAGCAAAATCACGAAATTATTAACTTTTAAAAACATAATGCAAATGGGATTAACAATCCAACTACTTGTTTAATGAAGAGGAACAACCAGTACCTAGTAAAACTTCTTTAGTTCCTCCGTTTTACCCGACTAATCAGAAGCTCAGGCCTAATATAATTGTCTCTTCTTTTAGTTTTTATAATAAAGATATTTAACAGTTTTCGCTCCAAATCCAATGTGTACGATACTGCCTGAAAATCACCTATTTATCATACGTCCTTAAAAAGGAAAATATTATTACCTTAGTCTCAATGTAGCGCCTTTTTTAAAAAAGATTGTTAATACTTTAAAGTGTACTAGAAATTAATAGAATATAGCCCTACAGTAATTAAATTCTAGTTTCAACTACCTGTTTTATTTACACTATTAAAAATGACGTATATATCTGCCCTATACCTACGCCCGCTATATACGTAACTGACTAGTCATGGCCCGTATGTGATCAATTGAAAATGCGTTGTCACAAATACGCATTGCAACCAATAACGTCGTTTAGCAACAGCCTACAGCAATTTTAGTTCATATATTCATTCGCCTTTTTCCAGTTTGTAAAAACAGATACACATTCTTTTGTTTGAATAGTTTTTCATTTGAATCTTGTATACTTAAGCACAAACATTTATATGAAAGAAATATTTTGTAATACTCAAATGAAAAACATAACGTTTATTCCAAAAAAATTCACATAACTCTAATTATCACTGCTAAATTTATTTGAAACCTCTTATATTTTTTTCTGGGAACACTATTTGGTTTGCAATCTGATAAGCAACACACCAACTTCTCTTGGCAAATACTTAATCCTAATTCAAGTTTACATACATACATATATATATATATGTACATGTGTGTGTGTGGAAAATATTTACAAACAAGATAAACAGATCATAATAAAGGAGCTTATAAAAGTTACCATAAACATTCTAGAAGTTTAGAAAAAAGAGAAACGTGTTTTGAAATTACTATTAATTACTATGTTCAGATTTATTACATTTAACCTGTTTCTGTATTTGAAGATGGTTTTCTTCAAATATGTTAGAAATGAGTCCACGTTCACCAGTATTTTTTTTAACATAACATATATTTAAATATATTTGATAATAAGATAGTGAAATATTTTAATATAAAAATCTCATCTGTGTTGTAAATTTACTGGTCTTCAGATTACTTTTTACGTATTTATTACGAAAACACATAGGTTCAAAAAATCAATTAAAGACAAAAATAAGAAACCCTATAACCCAAGCACTTTCAAAATGTAGGTCTTTCTTCATCAGGGTTAAACTAGTTACTGTAAAATAGATACGTGACAAGAAACGCACCTATTTTTTTTCATAGGGCATAATTCAATGTGCATATCTGATTGTAGCCCCCTGGTGCTCATAAGTGAGCTTAAGGGCTTATAATGCTGAAGGTAAGAGGTTTAATAGCAACAGTGCAGACAGCCCTTTGCATAGCTTTTTCACTTAAAATAGATAATTTATTACTTTCCAAGCAAATTAGGGCAATAAGAGAGGGGGGGAATAGTTTAGAATGCAAGTGCTACAAAAATAATAGAAAACAGAATAGATACTATGAACTTACAATGAATAAAACTTACACAAAAAATCCTACTCTTAAAACTGTCAGTTGATAGTATGACAAGGGTAACTAGAATTAAAGATAGAAAAATATTACTAGTTGATAGCTTATGCACACAAATCATGAAATATGACCTTTTAATACAAGTTAATCCTGTAAGCAAGCACATGTGGATTGACCAGAGGTGTCCAGTTTTGCTGCAAAATGAAATATCTAACAAGATACAGAAGTAACTATCTTAGTTAAATGTATCGTCAAAAGCATATAAACAATCACATGAAGATGGGCAAAATAATCATAGTAAAGAAAAAGTAAAAATACTTTACTTATAATAAAGGTTTATTTGAAAACACAAACTTTCAAAAACTCTTCATCAAACATATTGAATTAAAGAAATAACTTGTAATATAACAATTAAAGTTTTATTTATGGATAAAACAAATTATTATGTTCTTAAAACTGTTTTTTTAAAGCTAAGTTTTGCTAGGGTTACTTAACATTGTCAGGTGAATGTACATATTTGTTATATGTTTCAGCACAACAGCAATACTACATTGCTAAGCAACAAAATAAAAGCAAGTCAAACACAATTGTTAAATAAGGAAAAATTAAAATAATTGTACACCTGAATACTGGTTAATGCTAAGTTTGTTTTTTTAATAAAGAGAGCTCCTTTGATTTTTCTTTCATTTATATTATTTTCTATGTCAATGATTTTAATATCCCCCCCAAAAAAATGATTATTTTAAGCCACGTGCTCAAACACAAAGGAAGAGGCTTTCAAATGTCTTTTAATATTGTACACACTTGTTGGCAAGAATAAACAATCTTTACGTGTAGTTTGATACAAAAATCCTGTAATTCACTTGTCAGCAAACTTGTACAATATAATTTGAGCTATTTTTCTTGCTGGTAGGAAGGATGATTTCACATCTAAATTCATGTTGTATTCTTTAATTGTATTTAACCAGTTTTGGATGATTTGAAAGCCTAGGGTTATAAGGTAATAACGTAGTAAAATAAAACTGGTTGGATATATTTTTAGGTTGTGATTAATTTTCTAATGATGATAAAGTTTTATTTATAACTGTGAGGGGATATTTGTTTTGTTAATTGTGATTTTAACACACTTATCTCTGTTGAACAGGCAGAGATTTTAGCTATATTAAAAAGAACTTTCATGATCCATATTTTTTGTATAGGGTCATGGAAAGAATTCCAATGAATATAATCTCACAATGTTTGTCTCTACAAAAAGCAGTGGTATAAAATCCACTTTCATTTTTTTCAATCAAAAAATTGAAAAAATATTTCCATCAACTTCATTTTCAACAGAAAACACAACACTGAGATGGATCGCATTTAAATGTGAAAGAAAACTATCAATATCCTTGAAGATTGTAAAAATATCATCTTCAAAATAAATACAGAAAAGTGGAGGATAGAAAGAAATGGAAATTTCATTTCTGACCATAAATAATTTAGGTAAAACAAGATTTCCCTAGCTTAGGGCATCAATCTGGTTATAATGAACGTTATGAAATAGAAAATTTGTAGAAGTGGAAAAGTGAAAAGATGGAAATATCTAATAAACATCTTGTGTTGGAGTCATTCTGAAAACATTCCACAACTTAGTGAATGTAAATTAGAACATAATTACTTGTATTATTTTTAGTTAAAACTTTCTTTATCAAATGGAATATCACCTGAAGAAAATTTCTTAAATGTTTGTGGTTTCTTTGAACCTCAATATATATGTGAAGTGTAAATTTGAAAATTTTTCACATCATTATACTAATACTTGAAATGAGCTTAAAACTGTGTTCAGTTTCAGTTCCTTCATTACCATTCTAATCAACAAATAATTCGCCAGTGAACTTATTTGCATTTGCTTTCTTTGAAAAACCTGTACATTGAAAAAATGTTTACACTCATGTTATCCTCCAGTATTTCAAGTTTTGATGGCACATAATAATTATATCATAATCACTTTTTTAACTTTTTACACAAAAAAAAACATTGTTTAAATCTTCTCACACAAGTTTATGTCATCAGAGGTCTGTCTTTTTTACAACTCTGTCCATCAACAACAAAGATGAATTGCAACTGTGTTCATTTAGTTCGTGTTCACTGACAAAACCCCAACCACACTTATTACATACAGGGGGTATGCCATCTGCATGAATCTTCATATGGTTGATCAATGTATACTTTGATGTAAAAGTCTTTTCACACTCGGTACATTTAAAGGGTTTCTGATTCTTCGAATGTGTTCGTAGGTGATACTGGAAGTTACAAGCTTGGGTGTATCGTTTACCACAGAAGTGGCACTGATACTGAGCCTCACCATCGTGTATACTTCCGAGATGATCTTGAAGTTTTGTACCAGTTTTAAACCTTTTCCCACATATGATGCAAGGATAATTTCTGATGTCTAAGTGAACTCTTCTGTAGTGATGGTTCACATTTGTAATGAGTTTACCACAAGTACTACAAGGCTTTTTCTGAGATGGGTTGTCATGGGTTGCATTCTTTATGTGCCTTCTCAAATCTCCTTCAGTACAATACTTTTTCCCACACTTTGTACACTGAAATGGTTTATCTCCGGTGTGATCACTAAGGTGTCGCTTGAACTGTATGAACATACTGGATGAAAATACTTTCCCACAGTATTCACACTGTCTAACCCTTGGATGTCGAATAAGGGCTTTTTCTGGAGATCCAGTGTTGCATCTTTGAATTGGTTTATCTTCTTCAGTATCACAGACACTTAATTCCTCTCCCTCAAAAGGTAATTTTATTTTGAGTGTATCTTGTAAATCAGTATATGGCAACTGGAAAGGATCCGACATGTTTAAACTGTGTGTTTTTGAAAGGGCAGGTAAAATTTCTGATTGAGAGTCAAATATCTGAGGTTCAACCTTTCTTTTTCTGGTATATGTTCGTAAACAACGTCTTGATAGTTTCTCTTTCTCAAAATCTGAAATTTGAGAATATAACCTATTTCTATTAAGATTTTTGCGTGTGTTCACTTTTATAGTCAGGCAGTTAGTCTTTGAAGGTCTTCCCTTTTCTGAATAACATGTTTTTGAAACTTCTGTAAGAGAACAGTCTGATATTTCTGCCCTTACATTTTCAATCTCTGAACCCTTTACTGCATGAAAATCTACTTTATTAATTTGAGAATTGGGAAAACGAATTTCTAGTGGTTCTTGTTTGACTAGACCCTCATGAATTATTTTCTTTGCACCTGATGGCTCACTTAAAAATTGTGATTTTACCGATTCATAATCTACAGAACTTTTAGCAACCTTAGAATTCATAAGCTCATCATATATTGGATCTAAATCACAATCCAATTGAAATTCCAGATTGGGAAACTCATCAGAATTATATATAGTTTGATTAACTTTTTGAGAACGTATAACACTAGCAGAAGTCTCCATGTTGTGTTCTACTTCAGTGAACTTTTCAAAATTGTTTTTAGTTCTTTTATATGGCACATCACTAATACTAACCAAACCTCTTAACCGTGAACTAGATTGAACCTCTGGTTCCACATGAGAAACAAAATCTGTTGAATCACTGGAATTCTCCACCAAATCACCTACATCACAAAAACTTATGAGGTTTTCATTTGGTTCTTGTTTAATTACTATAATAGGTTCAAAGTTTGTTTTTATTTCAGGACCTAAAAGTCCCTTCCTTTTCACGATATTCAGCGTTTTCTCCATGCTTACAAAAGAAACTTGCTTTTAACCATCTTGTAATGTTTGCTTTGCTTTTCATTCTTTCTATTGCCCAATGTTGCCATAAAAAGAGTTATAATCTTAGTTTCTTTAACATGAAAACACACTTTATTTGTCGAGTTTATGGATTTGGATATGGTTATATTGAGCACAAAGAAACATAACAGCTTGTTTTTATTTCAAGGGAGTTGACTTAAAAGTAATTGATTCCTCTTGATACCTTAGTCTTCATTGAAACAATGCACAATCTAAATGGTATATTAGAAAGTTAAATGTTCTAGTTCTATATTTATTCTATAGTATCTAAGGCAATCCCTGAGAACTGAGGCTGATGTTTACATCACATTTTTTGAACTTTCTGTTAGTGTTACTGTGTATTAAGAAAGAACTGAGAACTTGTTTTTCTAAATTTGCATAACTGAGAAATATTTGACATGACTTGAAGTATTCACTCCTCTTCTGATTCAAATCTCTTATCTTTTCGTGCAGAATCTATTTTTAATTGACATTCAAGACTTCTGATTTGGCAATTAATTTGAAGAACTTTTCTCTAACTTGCACTCCATTAAAATCAGAAATGGTATACGACAAAGAAGTTTCCCGTCAGGCAAGTAAGAGCAGGTTCTCTTCAGAAACATGGACAGATCTACAAACAGTTAAATGTAATACTTTTTTTACTAAAATAATACATTACAATCACCTTTTCTTACACATTATATTACAACTCAGTGATTTGTAAAAGGGTTATATTTCATGATAACATAACAACAAAAACTTTATAACATAAGATTTAAGCATGTGTTATGTTTTTCTTAAAACATAAGTAAATTTTAATGGTTAGTCTTATAATTATCTAACATGCTTTTATATCAAAGGCTAGTTTGTCAAGTTACTTAAACATATCATATAAAGATAATATATAAGCTTTGAAACTAGGCTCATTTGTAAATTCTGATAAGTTTTTTGTTTAATTCAACAGGAATTACACTCTTTCAAAATTTGTAGAGCATGCTGGAGGGATTTACACATTTTGATTAAAAGGCTAGAGAAAAATGACCTTTAAACCCCAGATAATTATAAAAGAACTTTTTATTTGAACCAACATTTTACCTTTGCAACTTCATCAGGGCTAGTACATACAACTGACAGATTGATATATCCTAATAACAATTAGGTAATTTTTCTCTAGCCTTTTAATCAAAAAGGAATTACACTCACAATGTAGATGATTTCACATTCAGCTTTCTCATTTTAAAAGTAATCTAGCACACAAAAAATGTATAGTGTAACTTACAAATTAATTTCTTTTCCAAGTGTTTTAGTTGCTCTGATGAAAATATTTGTTCACTAGAAATTAATTAAGCTCAGTTGAAGAAATAATACTATTTTTAAGAAAAAGCATGGTGACATAAAACCATTCGACTAACCCAGAATCTTTAACATCCATCCCTCTTTTTTTTAAAGCAAAAATGTGAATGAAATAAAGCTAAAAGCATATACATAAATGAAAAATGCACAGCTTAAATAAACATGAAACTCACCTGTAAAATGGAAGATCCTGAAGTTTACAAAAAAAAACTGTTGTTAAGGCTAAGAGAAATTGTGGAAATGTCTTGGGTCTTGGCACAGTAGTTGACACGAAGAATGTATATATACATTAACTGCAGAAAAAAAAAAAAGAGAGAATCAAAGATAATAATAATAGCACTTTAAGATATTTTGAAGGTAACATGGCTAAAGTGCTAAACAATATTATTGCTGGTGTTCTACAGAAAGTAAGAAATATATTCCCATATTGAACAAGTTCTTTAAAGATGGGGAAGATTTTTCCTTAAATGTTACTGATGTTGAAGAAGTGTCTGTTTTTACAAAAACTTCTTGAGAATAAAGCTTCTGGTTCTGATGAGATGAATCTTAAAATCTCGAAAATGCTTAGCATAAATTTAGTAGAGACTTTAATTTATTTTTTTAGAAGTTTCTTAGCAATGGAGAAATTCCTGATGATTGGAAGATTTCCATTTTCAAAGAGAAAGGGTAGAGAGAGGATATAAATTTGTTTTAAAGAGTTAATGGATTTCATTTAAGAGATAACCATATATTTTGATTTATTTATATGTTTAAACATGGTTTATTTGCATGTTCATCCATATCTTGTTAACAAGAACAGCCACAGTCTTCACATCCTGGACTAAACCTTGCTCATACCTACCACACAGTCATTTTATTATTATTTCCGTATCAGTTGAAAGTATGCTAAATGTTAAAAAAGGTACAAATAATGGTACACTAAAAAGGGGTGAAAGCTGGACCAAGGAAAAATTTGCTAGACAGACCACAAAAACAACTCAGATCGACTTAAAATAATATAAAACTTTTACTTTTCCTCCATATGTTAAATGATAACAAGAATAACCATTATAGCAGTACCAACACAAAAGTGTCCATACAGGGCACTAAAACATGTCTGTTCATCTCCAACAAACCCATTTCACATTGTTACTTATTCCCTAATGTACACATAAGAGAAAATTTATTCATCTATGGCTTCTCAATTTTGTTTAATGAGTAAAAATGTTGCCAGACCAATACAAAAGTGCCTGGATGGGGCACTAAAATGTGTCTGTTTCTCTCTTATCTCACATCGTTATTCATTTTCTAATGTACACATATGAAAACGTTATTAGTCTTTAGCTTTAATTTTTTATTTTCAAAGTACAAATGTTGGCATACCAACACAAAAGTTCCCAAACAGGGAGCTAAAACGTGTATGATCGTCTTCTAACCTATTTGGTGTGGTTTTTAAGGCAATCGAAATTGAATAAATGGCTCCTCCATGCATTTTTGTTTTGGTTCTGAAACATTTTTATGAATTATGATTTCACAATAAATTGAATAATATTATGTAGTCTATGCGGATAGAAGTACGAGAAGGCATTTGGTGTGGTTTTTAAGGCGATCAGAATTGATTAAATGGACAGTCTAGGCATTTTTACTGGTGCCATTATTACTATACCAGTTTTAAAATGAAAGTAATGAACGATATTCTGATCACTGGTGCGATCATTCTCAAATGATCGAAACGTCGTATTCGCTTTAAAATTATTCTTCCTTACTGTAACTTGTAATAAAATAACTTTTAGTTTTAATCAGTAAGTAAACTCAAAACGAAACTATTATTAATATTACTAATTGAAGTAATTCTTACTAATCTTAGTCCTTCTTACTAAGACTCTTAGCTATCTTAGTATCTATTATTATTAACAATAACATTTATTCAACTTATTTTCTCACTTAAAATTTTGTTGCCTCAGCTTACAATAACAGTTAGTATGAGATTTTTCTTGATGAAGAACTCCAAGTATAATAACATTCAAAATAAATATAATATCAACTTGACAATACATCAATAGTGCTACATCCCCTAAACTTAATGGAGTTTTAGAACGAAACAAAAGAAGTGTGTGGATCCTTCTGCCATCTATTTTAATTTTTCTCTCTATATTTTATTTTATTTAGTGTAGTGATGAATAATAAAGAAAACGATCAATTAGAAAAAAATAACTTAGATAAAAAGGACAGTATAAACATTTTTGTCCCTCCAGAATATGTCTTATGTTTTATTTATTAATATTATGTTTTCTATAGTTTCCACCTAAAATATTATAATTTCTCCATTTGCCCTAAATATACATATATCGGTATTATGTTTATTCAGTGTTTGAATTATTATATTTATTTTTATAGCATAACCAGTGTTTGTATTTTGTATTTATGTCAAATGTACTAATGCATTCTGCCTCCGTCCTTAATTTTGAAATAGGACCAGAGGGATGAAACCCAGTCAACAGCACTTTACTATCACAGAGAAGAATGAAATTCTGATTTTGTTTGTTTGTTTGCTTTAGAGCAAAACCACAGTGGGCTATCAGCTATGTCCAGCACTGGGAGTCGAACCCCATATTTTAGCTGTTGCAAGTTCTTAAACTTACCATTGACCTATCGGGGGACTCGAGTTCTGATAATAAGAGTATCGCATCGTAATGCAAGACTGCAATTATATTATAAAAATACTTTAAAATTTCCAACATACACTGTGGATAATAATACTTTCTTGCTTCCCCAGTGGTTTATTGTGAAACAATCCTATACTTTGTTTATCTTTTTGTTGTTGTTTTTCATAACATATTATTCACGGAGTTACGACATTATTACTGAAGTGTGAGATTCAGTCATTTGTTAAAAGGTAGCATAAATACATTTAATGAAGGTTTCTCTTCAGAAAGGCTTTTATGTATACAGTTTATACATACACAGCGTGGTCACAAGTAAATAGACACCACCTTTTCA